CACACACACACACGTGTACTCACGCACAGAACCAGACAGACACACACATCCACAGACACCCACAGAGCATCTGCGCCAGCTCATTTCCTTTGCACCGACTTTTGGCCGATCTTATGATGACTCTCATATCACACATCCCAGGATTGGTTCCTAGACCTCTGTGGCAGATTAGGTTGGAGTTTGTACCCCAATGTGCTAGGTCAGCAGTCCTTTCAGTCCTTTCCTCATTGAAGAAATAGAGGTTCCAACATTCTCCACTCTAATAAACCACCGTTTTTTCAGCTCCCCCGAACTTTCTGTCTGTCATATTTGTTTGAGGTGGGGTCCCATCGTGTAGCCCCGGCTACCTGGACCTTGCTGTGGCCCTGCTGGGACTTGCCTTCCTCCTGCCTCACCTTCCCCTGAGTGCTGGGACTGCAGGCACCTACCCCTATGCTCATTTGTCTGCTGTCTGCCTTAATCTCTTGGGACTTGTATTTTTAAAAAAATCATTTATTGCAGTTTTTGTGAGGTTTGTAGATGCAGCAGAGATAAATGCTGTGTTCAGTCTTTGTATAATTAGAGGTCTTAATCATTTATTTATTCAATAAATTAGTATTCCCACAACAGTGAGAACTGGGTTTTCTTTGAGAGGCGGGGATACAGCTAAAATCATCTATGCCCTCCCAAACTCCCTCAGTGGGAGTTTAATTCCCAAGCCAGAGACTCCGTGCCCCCTGGAACCGCATTTTGACAGCTTAGCAGCCAGGGGTGCCCTTTAAAGAAGCTGCCCATGGTCCTAGCGGGATACGGTGCGTGATTGGCAGGATTAACAGTTTGCTCAGGATTCTTCTGTGTCACTTAGATCAGAGTGAGTTCATCCAGTACCCTGGAGGAACCCTCCTGTGTCCTCCAACCCAACTTCAGCCTTCCTCCTTCTGCCCACACCTCTTGGCCCATTCAGCTGTAGAAGTATGCATACCAGCATGGTGTCCTTATAGAGGATCCTTCCTGATTCTCTCTATGCATTTCTGCAATTACACATGTGCTTCACACTTCCCTGTTTCTGTATTGTGCATACCTGCATTCTTCGCACCAGCACTCCTTTCTGCAGCCACACTCGCATTCATTCACACTTCAACCCTTTCTGCAATCACACATCTGCACATTTGTTGCAATGAATTTGATTGACAATATATTTGAGCTCATTATCCTCTCAAATGATAATCTGGATCCTGGTCCGGCGGTGCAGACCTGTAATCATCTATGCATGAGGCAGATGCTGGAGAACCAAGCTGAAGACCAACCTGGGCATTTTAGTTAGACCTTGTCTCAGAGCAAAGAGTAAAAAGATCCTGGGGAGGCCGCTCAGTGGTTGAGAGCTTGCCTAGCACGTGTGAGATCCTAGGGTTAATTCCAGTTAAATCAAAATCGACAGGTCTAGAGAGATGGTTCAGGGCTTGAGACTACTGACTGCCCTTTCAGAGGACCCCACTGGGTTCTCAGCACCCACACACTAACAACAGTCTGTAACGTCAGTTCCAGAGAACCCAACCCCCTCTTCTGGCCTCTGTAGATGCAGCACACAAACAGTACACAGACATGCATGCAGGCAAAACACCGGTACATGTAAAAACAAAAACAAAAACAAAAACCAAACCAAACGAACAGAAAACCCACTGAGGACCCTTGAATGACAGGTCTGAACGCAGGGCAATGGGCATGGTTGTGGAGTGGTGATGCTCCCAGCAGCAGCAGAGGGCACACAGCAATCTGCTGGGTGGAGGGAGGAAATGGTGCCACAGGAACTCAAGAAGGGAGGCTGAGCCCAGCAGAAAGTCCATTCCTCCACACTGTGACCCAGGAGCAGCAGGAGTGGGCAGTGGTACCCAGTCCACCTCTCCTGCCCCCCAGTTCATCCATCCTGCCCCCCCGCCCAGTCTCCTCAGTGCTCTCAGTGGGCGAGCTGTGAGTCAGAGGACAGTCCTGAGGGCAAGAACTAGCGTGGGAGTGCACAGCATTGGAGGTGCTAGGTGGTGAGGGCAGAATGAATGTGAATGTCTGTCTTCTGGAAACTTCCAGGTTATTAAGGGCAACCTGACCAGGCAACTGTAACTGGAGGTTTCTCTCCTACCCACCAGTTTCCAAATAATTACCCTGAAGCTTAATATTAATTACAAACTGTTTGGCCCATTAGCCCAGGTTTATTATTAACTAGCTCTTACAACTTAAATTAACCCATTTCTGTTATTCTGTATTTTACCATGAGGCTTGTGACTTGTTACCTCACATCTTGCTTCCCTGGAGACTTCTGGTATCTCCTATGACTCCGCCCTTCTTCCTATATCTCTGTTTGGATTTCCCGCCTAGCTCTCTGTATTCTGTCTGGCTATTGGTCAAATCAGCTTCTTTATTAACCAATAGTAATAAAACATACTCACAGCATACAGAGGTACATCCCACATCATTTCCCCTCTTCTGTTTAATTTAAAATGGAAGGTTTTAGCTTTAACATAGTAAAATAACAAAACAGTTACCAGGCAAGAATTACAGTTACAATATTTAGTCTATTTGTATTTGGCAAAGTTAAAGAAAATACTTTATTATCTATCCTATCTTTGTGAGTCTAAAGTTTTATATCTAATTTATCTTTTATCATAACTAAAGAAAATTATAGTTGTAACTATCTAGTCTTCAACTCCATCAAAGACACCAGAAAAATGTATTATGTAAGTAAACAGGAAGTACATTGCAAGCAACTTCCAAAACACTGGAAATGCCTGGATAGTCACCCAGAGTTCTTCTATAACATTGGGGCACCCATCATCAGCCTACAGGCCTGAATGTCTGGCAGACTTCTCAGTGACTCAGGAAATTTGAAACTGTCCACCTACATTGGCAGTTTGTCAGTCATTTTCCTCTGTGTCCTGCAGAACGTCTGGCAGACTTTTCCGTGAAGCAGGAACCCTGAAGGGCTGTCTCATCTTGTTTTGGCAAGTTTAGCAGTCACTTTCCTGTGGGTCCTGCATGTCTGGTTTATATTGCATACAGTCAAGCAGTCCAGGCAAGAACAGTTTCTTGCCCAAATGGCTAACCTTGTCACATTGAAAGCAAACTCCATAAGGAGCTGCTTTGATGCTCATCACCCTCTTGAAATAATTGGTGCTGCCAGGCGCAGATGTGCTTCACTGTCAAGAAAAGTCTAAGTTCTTAAAACTTTTTTTTGTTTTTGAGACAGGGTTTCTCTGTAGCTTTGGAGCCTGTCCTGGAACTAGCTCTTGTAGACCAGGCTGACCTCAAACTCACAGACTTAAAACATTTTAAGTGTCATATTCTATAGGTCTTTGAAGTGAAAATTACTTATCCAACTGAAATATATATCTGTATATCTAGAGAAACTAACATGACTATAAGTTTGACTATTATAGATGGCTATTAATTTGTATTTCTTAACTGTACATTACATTTTTAAATGAGCTGCATAAACATATACCTTAAGCAAGAATAGAAATATACATACAGTATAACAAAATTGACCTTAAATTTGTATCAATACACCAAAATACATACAAATGTAAAGTATTTTGAGATTAATAATTGTCTTTTTATTCTATATTCCCCTAAATATAACAAACATCCCTAACCTACCAAATAACCAAAGACCATCCATAGCTCCCCAACTCTTGGGAATGTGGACATTGTTTTCTTCAAGTTGTTTCCTGCTGTCTGTGGATGAAGTATCTTTAGGGTCCCAAGAAAATTTGAGATAATAGTCAAATCCTGACTGGGATATCTTGTGTGGTTGGTCCATCTCAGCCAACAGCCTTGAAGCTGTTGTGGATGTCGGATCACCTGGGCCATCACTCCCTTCGGAGACCTTTCATGGGATATGGTTAGATCCAACCATATTAACCTGGAAGGAATTCACAGGTTCTCATCTTCTGTG